ATTTCTCAACAGTTTCTCCGGTTCAAATTATTGTAAACCAATACAACTTTTTTTTAACTTAGCAAAGACTGTAAAAAGTCTGTCGCTAGAAAGAAGAAACTGTTCAATATAAGTGAGGCTTAAGAACTGCAAATGATGTAAATCTGAATGAAGCTTCTCCAAAACATTGACAGAAATCTGAAACCCATAAAGATTCAGGGTATGGATGTTCTTACATGTAAGAATCATTCGTTGATATTTACTGAACGGTAGCTCTCCCCTTAAACTCAGTGACTGTACATGTGGGCCACATGTTTGTAAAGCTGACTTGATGAATGGAGCATTTGTCTTATGATATGCATTATCAATGACAACATTTCTCCACAAAAAAGGATCAGAACATATCATGTAGAGCCTTCTATTGACTAATCTAAGAGACATCTTATCTCTAAGTGAGAGCATCATGCATATCTCTTGTATTACCGTATTTGGTAGGGAATCAAACGGGTTGGTATATTCCTCATCTTCTATCAAAGGAAGCTGATTTGCAGTGGATTGATCGATAGGAGGTTCTGAGTGGTAGAAATCATCATCAGACTCGTCGTCAAAGAAAGAAATATCAAGTTTAAGTCTTTTACAGCAAGGTTCAGCTTCAGCCATTGTATGATATGGATTTCTATAGTCCAAAGAGTGTCTAACCTGACACACGTGAATACACATGTGCATTCACTTGTGTCACGTGAATGCACGTGTGTACCGTATAGCTTCAAATTTTAGTCAATCAAAATTTGAAGCAGTGGTGGCCATCAGCAAGTTTGAGATTATTTTTATCAAACGGTCAGCAAGATAAGACTAAACTGCTGTCCAGAGACTTCTCTAGCAAGAAGGAAGATTTGGAAAGTAGATTGCTATCTTTTTCCTTCATATAAAGGACCCTCATTAGTCATTAGTTGAATGCAAGTGAGAAAGCTGCTAAGTTGTGTATTTATGCATGCAGATCTATTTTAGGTGATGTTTCTTCTCTAGCAGCCAGCAATTAAGCCAAGGTTAACAAAGACAATCTTCTTCAAATATGATTTGTTCAGTGACTGCTTCTACCTATATATATAAGCAAGATAACTTTATTTGCATGCTTTAGAGATCAGGGGCGTATCTGAGGGGGGGCCTACAGGGGCCTGGCCCCCCCCCCATCAATTGTTGTAGATAATAATATTCATTGTTTGTTTTATTACCTACCACCTAGTAATATAAATTAACCACCTTGTAATCATGTACAATACATTGCACAGCAGTAAATGTACAAGAAATGAGAAGTAGAGAGAAACAAAACACTCATTTTACATTAATCATTGTTGAAAATGTAAGATTTTGATGCTTTTAAAATACGTAAAATGCTATTTTAGTGCACTATACGAACGCTAAAAAGGGGGCGTGGCCAAATTTTTGGCGCGCTTCGCGCGCCATTTTTCCTTGTGCCCCCTCATCATTTCCTTCCCAGCTACGCCCCTGTTAGAGATACTTTAAAGAAAATTTAAGCAAGATGACTGCACTGTATTTAGACTTGTGAAATTGCTTTGCTTGCTCATACATGTAAATCAAACAGCACATAATCTATGCTTGCTTATAGGCTCGCCCCTTTAATGTTTTACATTCTTGATTCTTCTGGTTGATTATTCTTTAATTTGAATTGACATCAAAAGATTCTTCTGTGATTCATTGTTCAATTATTGAATAATCATGACTGCATTACATCTATTATTGTTATCTTTGCTTGAT